AAAAAAAAAAAACATAGCCACAAGTCTGCTGATTATCTGCAGCCTTCTGTGGAGAGGAAAGACAAAGCCCTCTGATAATAAGGAAACTGAGTGATCCTGCACACGTGTCATTATTTCCACACACACTGGCTCTGAAAGTGTTTTCCTTTAAAAAATAAAAAGATGCTTCAAAACTGGACCGCTAAAGACATAATTTAAATAAGGCCTCTTGAAACAGGACAAGAGAAGTGATTAATAATGATTCACATTAAGGACCGGGAAAGATTTAGTCCTGTGTGAAAATTTTGAGTCTTCACTACTGTTGCTTCTGAAGAGACTGGTGCTTTTGTTCTCTTGACAAAAGGCTATGTGTTTGTGTGTMAGCAAAATATCTCACAAAACAAGAATTTGAATGAAACTTTAGGAAACAAAACCTTGGATGTGTATTCACAACAGAGATATATAAAGCACTTTAAAGAAAAAAACTTAGTAAAAGTAAAAATACCTTAACAAAACCGACTGGTAAAAATAAATTCCACCATAAAGCACTTAAGTTAAAATCATAAAACTGCCCACAATAATTGGGAAAGTAAAATTACTTTTGCACACTAAGAAATAAAGTGTTGAATTTACATGACCAAGCCGGTTCCCCCTAGAACAAGCTGTAAAGACAAATGTCTTTACATTTGTAAAGATTTACAAACGTACTTTTAAATGTACTTGTAACTTGTTTTAGGGGAACCAGTTGGCATAAAGTAACGTGTTTAAGTAAATTCAACACTTTGTATTTCAGAGTACATAATAAACAACTCCTTTCATGATGAGTTCGGTCTGATTTAAACTTTTAACATGTCACTAGGTGTTAAATGTTAAATTAAAGAAGTAAAAGCATCATTTTTATGTTTTGAGTGTAATTAAATTAAAGCAAAAGTTACGACTAAAAACACTTTAAAATTGCAAATCCTCAAATAAATGTACTTTATTACTATGCACCTCTGATTTGCTGCTGATGAACCTTTGGGACCTGATACAAGCTCACAAATTATACAATTTCTATTAATCACACATTGCATCACAGAAATGGCACACATGATTTTTGTCACCAAGTACTATTATACAGTATATCATAACATTACAAATGTGAGCATATTGTATGAGTTTAAAAACCTTCATCTTCATAGTATCTGCTCAAGTTTACTTGAGTGAATAAAATTTTTGGTAAAAATTAAGGTGTGGAAGCTGAAAAGGTGAGAACTTGAAGAATGCGGGAGCAACTCTGAGGTATCACAAGAATCATACCTTTGGTGTTTCAAAAAAAATGGTGATCTCTTGTTTCTTTTTTCGTTAAGACTGTGAGTTTTTGTCTGTGGACATTTGTCCTCACACCAAACCTTTGGAGTCAACCCAATTCAAGATGGCCACCACTGCTAATCAACATTACCAAACACAAAAATGGCTGTAAYTTTGTCAGTTTCACAGATACTGAGCTACAATTTGGCGTGGTGGTAGCAGAGAGTCATTTACAACACATACTCTGAGTGCTAACAGATTGTACAATATCTTGCAATTTTGCATGAGAATGCGCATATGGTTATTTTCATTATTTTCCTCCAAACTCACTAAAAACTGTTATTTCTCAACAAAAAGATCCAATGTAGTTTGATAGACGACGGGCAACGTGCATTCTTTCAAGTAACGCTTGACTTTTAATTTAAACCAGTCTTGAACAATAGTTCTTCAGGCTTTTTCTTTGTACCTCAACTGCTGTAAAGTTATTAGCAGTGGCCTAAAACACTGGTGTCCTGGAGGGTTATGATCCTGCAAGTTTTCGATGTTTCTCTACTCTGACTCACCTGATTTGATTGAATGAGTGATTAACATGTTTCTGTAGAAGTTAAGGACTTATAAA